TACAATCAAGCGGAGTAATTTCAAAATTCCACAAAACATTAAACTGGCCGATCCACAGTTTAATATATCGTCCGACATAGATATCCTGATAGGCGCAGAACTATTCTGGTCGGTGTTGTGCGTAGGGCAAATAAAGGCTTCCGTAAGCCACCCCTTGTTACAAAAGACAAGATTCGGCTGGATCTTGGCTGGTCGGTTAGGCGAATTCACAAGAAAATCACAAAAAATTCAAAGCCTTCACGCATCAATAACCAACTCGCAATTGCATGAACAGCTAACTCGTTTCTGGCAATTAGAAAGTATGGAAGACCCCAACACATACACTAGTGAAGAAGTTATTTGCGAGAAGCATTTTTCAGACAATGTAGCCCGAAACCAACAAGGTAGATACATTGTTAAGTTGCCATTTAGGGAACTAGCGAAGGGAAAGATCGGTAATTCGAAGGAGATAGCCCTCAAGCGTTTATTAAGTCTTGAGAGGCGATTCACGCGTAACCCTCAATTAAAGGTTCAATATACGCAGTTTTTACGCGAATATCTAGCCCTTGGGCACATGAGACAAATAACCACGCCCGGTGAACTTGAAGGGGAATCATATTATTTACCCCACCATTGCGTATTCAAGAATAGCCAGGCAGAAAACAAAATCCGCGTAGTTTTCGACGCTTCCGCCAAAAGCAGTTCCGGTAGCTCGTTAAATGACGTGCTTATGACAGGTCCCGTGGTTCAGCAGGATCTATGGTCAATCCTAATACGTTTTCGAACTTTCGTCTACGTCTTCACGGCGGACATAATTAAAATGTATCGCCAAATACTGATGCATTCCGAGCACACCCCCTATCAACGAATATTGTGGCGGGAAGAACCTAATTCCGAGATCAAGGTTTACGAACTCCTCACAGTCACTTACGGAACTTCCTCTGCGTCATTTCTAGCGACTAGATGCCTCAAGCATCTAGCAGAAACCAATCGCCACAACTATCCAGTGGGTTCTATTTGTGTAATCCGCGACTCCTGTGTAGACGACATTCTATCAGGAGCAGACACAATCGTCGACGCGAAAATAGCGCGCGACGAAACGATTAGCTTATTACGGTCGGGAGGCTTCGAGCTTAGTAAATGGTCTTCTAATTGCCCGGAATTATTGAACGGCATACAGGATCAAAACAATGATCCAGTCATAATTAATAGCCAAATGGACTCCCGAATATTAGGAATGCACTGGAATCAATCCCAAGACACGTTTTATTTTTCCTACAACCCAAGTCAAACCAATAGTGCCATTTCCAAGAGAGTTATTCTATCTGAGGTGGCGAGGCTGTTTGATCCGTTGGGCTTGCTCGGTCCTATCATTGTCTTAGCAAAACTCATTTTACAAGAGCTATGGAATGAGGGCATTCATTGGGACGAATCCGTTCCTCAAGACATCAACTACCGATGGACTGAACTTAAGTCTCAATTGCCTAACATAAACGAATTGCAAATTCCGCGCTGCATCAAGCCCGGTGAGATAGCCCGATTTACTCAAATCCACGGCTTCTGTGATGCAAGCCAACGTGCCTTCGGGGCATGCGCATACTTACGCACACAAACAAAAGACGGCTTTCATTGCGAACTCATCTGCTCGAAATCCCGTATTGCTCCTACCAAGGCTGTATCATTACCACGGCTGGAATTAGCAGCAGCCTTATTATTAGCGCGTTTAATCGACAAGTTAAAGGCCTCAACCGACATGGCCAATGTTCGAACGTTTTTGTGGTCCGACTCGACGATAACGCTTAACTGGATCAATTCATTATCCCGAAGATGGA